TCCTTTGTTGAGCCCTCCCCCACCAGTGTGCAGTCTGAGTCTCCATTGACCCGACCCGGCTAACACTGTTTGCCTTGCTCTGGTTATTCCCTGAGGCCTCGTACCACCAACTGTGGGCCCACCCAAGTGTATTCAACTGCTTTTTCATACAAATAGCCTGTCTCAGTTTGAGCTACAGACTTTCCCAAAATATCTCAGAAGTTCACAAACGCCAAACAAGCGGTGTTTGACCTCGGTGTGCCCCGTACCTCTTGTTAAGCAACTCCAAGCCTGGGACTAGTGGAAGCTGACCTTGGTTCACATCTTGGCTTCACCCAGGTACCTCCAAGCCTAGTACAAGTGATACCGATCTGCAGATCACTTTGTAGCTCCTACCAAGTGGCCTCAGGCCAGGCACAGGCAGCAGCTGACCCTGGCCTGCACCAGAGCTCCTCTCAAGAGGCCCCAGAACCAACACACCTGGTAGCCAGCTTCAGACCACACAAGAACACAACCCAACCACCTCCACAATGACACATCCAAAGGGTAAACCTAGCAAGTATCAGACCCTGCTAAGCAAATTCTGCTCTGTGGGGTCAGCAACTGCACAACAGCTCCTCCACTATAGTCACGACCAATTCTCACAGTCAGTCAGCCTGAGGGTCAGTCCCTCCCACTGACATGCCAATAGCAATCAATGCTCATCTATAATAGAAGGGCACACACAACCCACACAAGGGATATGCTACAGCACCCAGCTCAGGTGACCAAGGAGACTGTGCCACAAGGCTCCACTGGACACCTACTACATAAAGCAACTCTACTAAGACCAAGAGACATAGCAGATCTACCTAATGCATAAAAACAAACACAGGCAGTCAGCCAAAGTTGAGGTGACAAAGAACCATGTCCCAAATGAAAGAACAGAACAAAACTTCAGAAAAAGGACTAAACAAAATGGAGACAAGCAATCTACAAGATGCAGAATTTAAAATGCTGGTTATAAGGATGCTGAATGAACTTGGGGTAAGGGTAGATGAACTCAGTGAAACCTTTAACAAAGTGATAGGAAACATTAAAATGGAGATAGAAAACATAAAAAAGAACCAGTCAGAAATGAAGAATAACTGAAATGAAGACTATATTAGAGGGAATCAATAGTAGATTAGTTGAAGCAGAGGATCAAAAAAAAAAAGAATTACAAAAAAATGGGGATAGTTTAAAGGACCTCTAGGACAACATCAAATGTACCAATATTTGCATCATAGGGGTACAAGAAGCAGAGAGAGAGCAAGGAATTGAAAACTTATTTGAAGAAATGATGGAAAACTTCCCTAACCTGGTGACGGTAATAGACATAAAAGTCCAGAAAGCAGACTGTCCCAAACAAGATGAACCAAAACAGGTCCACACCAAGACACACCATAATTAAAATGCCAAAGGTTAAAGATAAAGAGAGAATCTTAAAAGCAACAAGAAAAAAGCAGTTATTTACCTACAAGGAAGCTCCCATTAAGACTGTCAGATGATTTCTCAACAGAAACTCCGCAGACCAGAAGGAATTGGCAGGAAATATTTAAAGTGATGAAAAGCAAGGACCTACAACCAAGATTACTCTACCCAGCCAGGCTATCATTTAGAAGCAAAGATAAAGCGCTTCCCAGATAAGAAAAAGCTAAAGGAGTTCATCACCACCAAACCAGTATTACAACAAATGTGAAAGGGACCTCTTTAAGAAAAAGAAGAAAAAATAAAAATAAAAAATATGAATAATAAAATGGCAATAACTACATATCTATCAACAATTATTTTTTATAAAGTCTTTTTTTTTTTTTTTAAGCTGAGCCATCCTGCCACCTGTTGGCAGCTCAGCGGCAACTCAGCTCGGGCCAGGAATCGAACTGATGACCCTGTTGCTCAGAGCTCACACTCTTGAGCTCTTAACCAACTTAGCCACTTGGCTGGCCCTTATCAACAATTACTTTAAATGTAAATGGATTAAACACACCAATCAAAAGACATAGGCTGGCTGAATATATAAGAAAACAAGACCCAGGGCTGGCCGAGTGGCGTGATGGTTAAGAACTGGCTTGGGACGCCAGAGGGCCCCGGTTCGGATCCCACATATGAGGGCCAGTGACACTGCCCTCTACAGCTAAGATGCTGAACAACAGCTCAACCTGGAGCTGGGTCGCGACGGTGTAGGCTGCAGCCCCTGTGGCAGTGGGTTGCCATGGGCTACCGTGTGTAGCCAGCAGCCAGTGTGAGCAGCCAGCAGCTGCCGTGAGTGGCTGTCCAGAAGCCAGTGACTGATCTGCCTCTCCTGGGAAGAGCGCAATGATGGTGCCAATTTGGGCCAGTGAAGCAACGTCCTCCACAACTAGACAGAAGAACAAAAGGACAGCAACTTGTCTGTTCGCCTTCCCCCAATTCCCCAGCGCTGTTCTCATCCCCCCAATTCCCCAATAAAAATCTTAAAAAAACGAAAACAAGACCCAGATATATGCTGCCTACACAAGACCCATTTCAGCTAGAAAAACACATACAGACTGAAAGTAAAGATATGGAAAAAGATATTTCATGCAAATGGAAATTAAAAAAAAAAAAAAAGCTGGGGCAGCAAACTTATATGAGACAAAATAGACTTTAAGATACAGGCTATAACAAGAGACAAAGAAGGCTCTAACAATTCCACTCTGGGTATCTATCTGAAGAAATCCAAAACACTAATTCAAAAAAGATATATGCATCTCTATGTTCACTGCAGTGCTATTTACAATAGTCAAGATATGGAAACAACCAAAATGCTCATCAACAGACAATTAGATAAGGAAATTTTGGAATATTACTCAGCCATAAAAAAAGAATGAAATCTTGCCATCTGTGACCAAGTGGATGGACCTAGATAGTATTATGCTGAGTGAAATAAATCAGGGAAAGACAAATACCATATGATTTCACTTATATGTGGAATCTAAAGAACAAAATAAATGAACAAACAAAACAGATACAAATTCATAGAAACAGAGAGCATTTTGATGGTCACCAAATGGGAGGGGCATTGGGGGGCTAGGTATAAAAGGGAAAGGGATTAAGACGTGTAAACTACCAGCTATATAAACAGTCATGGAGATGTAAAGTACAGCATAGGGAATACAGTCAATAATATTGTAATAACTATATATGACATCAGAAGGGCACCAGACTTATTGGGGTGATCACTTCGTAAGTTATATAAATGTCTAATCACTACATTGTACACCTGAAAGTAATATACTATTGTGTGTTAACTGTAATTGAAAAATAAAAATTATTTTAAAAAAATAAGAAAATAAAATACAAAGTAATGGAATTTTTTTAAAAGGATTGATGAGGTTTAAAGTAAATCTGTTGCTAAAACATGCTCTTGTAAATTTCTATGAAAAGGATCCAGTTTTCGTAAAAATCCACCTTTATTTTCGTTTTGGTTTAAGCTGCAAATAGGACTACGCTGTTCATGGTTTATTTTTTTAGGTTTTATATATGTCTTAGCCATTTTCTATAGCATTTATTATCTGTATTATACATTTGATATTTATGTTGTATCTGAAACAATAAACATTGATTGCCAACCCAAAGATAAATAAACAAAATATTGCTCATCTTTGGACCAAAAAAAAACAACAATAAATATCTTCTGAATGACTGAATGGGAATATTAATTTAAATGCAGATTTTTAGGCTCCATCCCTGGAAATTCTGAACCTGTATGTCTTAATCATCCACAGATGACTGATGACTGATCCACCAGGCAACCTGAATTCCAACTCTCAGAGTACTTCAAGGTTGTCACACTAGCTCTCACTCAGGACCCATGTCTCATTAATGCACACAAAGACAGCTGAACTGACCATCAGACTTGAAAGAATGAGAATCGAACGTCCTCTGGGAAACACTAGAAAAGCCAACGCTAGATGATTTATCTTCAATAGAGAAAATAATTTCACCCGAATTGGCCGATAACTAGAAGAATAGCATGCATGAATAGGTGAGGAGGGGTTAAGTACATATAATTCTTAATTTATTATGCTTTCAGAGCTAAAATACTAATTAAATTCATAGATTGAAAAAATTAAAAATTCAACCTCATCTATTAAATCTTCCCAAAGTCATATGCAATAATAGCAGCATTAATTTAATGTTCTCCTCCTTTCTTTTGTTTTTTTATTCTGATGTAAATATTAATAGCCAGGAAAATGACTGAAATGCAAATAATTAAATGGAAAAGGAATCCTTAGTCTCATAACAGAGTTTAAAATAGTGTTTGTCCTAAAGATCTTGTGCTTTCCTCCATGCAAAAATTGTTCTGAAATGCTACATCAAATTTGATTTAGTGTATTAAGAATCAGAGTTTCATGTTTATGTATCTTATTAAAAAAAGAAAAGTAAAGTAGCAGCATATAAAATTACCAAGCAAGTTTACAATAACAGTTAGTGCTTATCGTAAGAAGATCATCAGTTTCTAAAATTCTTTTAACTATATTGTAATGTTTAAGAAAGTCTAATTTCTGACTCGCTACAAGTACTTTCATTCTTCCTTTATATTTTCCTAAATTTAAGTAATTTTAAAACATTCATCAGGATAAAAACCAAGTTTTAAAATTTATTTAATATGATTCACATTCCAGCTTTCTTTTATAATCATACATATTCTTTCATCTTTTTCAGATAAATAAAAAAATAAAACCACATTAAAAGAGTTTTTCTTTAATTATTCATTTTAGCAAATACTGAAATGTGAGTTTTTGCTGTATGTTCTTCCTTCTACTTAACTCTTTGAGTCAGATGAGGACTTAGAAACCCATAAAAGCGAGAAGGCTTCAAGTGATTTGAGAAGCAAAATAATTAATCATTGTCAAATGATTCTACTTCATATTGGGAGATTTCTGAAAAACACATCCTCCAACATGCCGGATATATAAAACAGCACAATCCTCTCTAACTTCCTCTTTGGTTGGCTTCTCAGAGAAATCCCCACTTACCTGAGTGGCTTATTCTCTGGGCCCACATCAGTAAAGCCCATTTCCTCCAGTTTGCAACGTCTGTAAAGTTCATAGTGCCTAGTGTGGGTCTGTTCTCGCAGGTCCTCCATGTTTGTACAAATGAGCATTTCCCGGAGCTTTACAAAGTCACAGTGGTTTTCATTTTCCACTAATCAGAAAAACAAGAAACAGCAACGCTAGTTTTTAATTCCTCTCACACAATTAGTATTTACTGAATAAATGAAAACATTTTAAATAATAAACAGCAAAATGATAAGTCTGATTAACAGCTATGATTGTTTTATACAAGTAACCAAGGAAGAAACTCTTGGTTATACACACTAAATTATAGGCAATGTTAATAATCAGACTGGGAGGCTTGCTTTAAATTTAGTAGCCAATAAATAAATAGGAAATAGGAATGAAATACATTATATTATGTGACCATAGCTCCAGTTATTTCACTAACATTGTGTAAGCAGTTTACAAACCAGCTTCAGTATATTTCACACAGTGCTTAAAAAGGATATGGAACGTTATTTCACTTCAAAGTAGTAAATTCTACATACTCAAGAATACCATCTTGCATGCTATACTTATCGAATTCTTTTTGTACAATGCCACATTTATGATCCTGGGTTAGACACTATTCACAGTTTACATGGTCCTCCAGTATTTATGGTAACCAGAAGACTACAAATAAATGTTACAGTTTAAACACAATTATTTTTAATGTCTTTACATATTAAAAATGTTAAAATTTTCAAGTGGCTCAGTTGGTTAAGAGCTCTGAGCAACAGCAGTTCGAGTCCCGGCCCGAGCTGAGCTGCCGCTGAGCTGCCAACAGCTAAAAAAAAAAAAGTTAAAATTTTCAATATGTTTTGTTAATCACAAAATTTGTCAAACAACAAAAAAAAGCATTGGGAAACCTGTACTGGCAAGGGTAATCTATTTCCCATTAATTAGCTTCACTATATCATTATATCATTATATTTAGAAATCCTCACATTTTTTTAGTTAGCTGACTGGTTTATTTGGGAAATAGTTGGCAATACTTTGGAGTAAAAATACATAAATTTATAAAGATGTTTAGTGTACCCTAGAATTACAAAGTAGTTAGTTTACATATCATGTTTAAATACTATTATTTACACTCAAATTTTGTTCAAAGTACTTGACCAGTGTGTCCCACCTTCTGAATGTCTTAGCACATCTGAGCAGGTAATGTGTGTGGTATAAGGTGGAAAATAGGAAGGCTCTGCCTGGTCTCTACAGAACTGGCTAAACAGAAGATGGCCAACTTTTCTGACAACCAGTCATAATTCCAAATAAGTATGACCTCAAAGAATGCATTATTAAATGCAACTTTGAGACTATTAGGGAACATAAATATTTCCAGGCATTGTTTATCTCCTTTACCTTGTACGACACCCCAAGGATACTGACGAGCTTTGACCATCTTATTTCCAACCTTTACCTCGTCCATACTTCCTACAACAGCAAATGGCAAGTGTCCCTGGAAAGAAACGATATCAATCACATCTCAGACCAATGTAATGAATGACTACAACAGTTTCATGAAAAGAAGAGAAAACTTATTAAATAGCAAACTTATGAAAATCGAATGATCTGCTATGCCTTCAAGTTTTAAAACTTAGCAGTGAATATGTGCCAATTGTATTACAAAAGTCATTTTCAGGCCCTATAAATAAAATTATTTACTGAGCATCCCCTATATGCAAGGTATGATGCTACAGAAACATAAAAAGAGAAGGAATTCTAGTATATGTATCATTTCCCTCAATATTATCTTTGCCCTAAAAGACAATGTTGAGGAAATGGCGAACGCACACATGCACATGCGCGCGCGCACACACACACACACACACAACTAGAGTAAGTATATATCTATTTAGTGTGTGTATAGATATGAAACTAATATAAAATAATATTTAAGTCCCAAACTAATGCTAAATATGGTAAATGTTACAGAAATTTAGAAAAGTAAGGGATCACTGTGCAGGAAGATACAACCCAAACTAGAGATGGATCAAGCAGAGTGGAAGAACTCGCTTGGGTAAGGAGAAGATTTTGAACAAAGATACAAAAGCTATATTTACAGTTAATGATCAGATTGGTCTGTCTGAAGCTGAGAATATAGGGGAAAAGACTAATGCAAAAAGTAGTAAGTATTATGTTTAATATTTAATAATTGACATTATTTAGTCTCTTAATTTTGCCTTTCTGAAAAATTATTCCAGGTGGACATAGAAATAAAACTAGATGTAAAGGCAATGTGACACACAGGAATTAAGATCACTTGCATTTACATTAGTCAGATTTTTAATATATTTAGCTGAAGTATCTTAAAAATAAATGGGAGTAAGAAAAGCCAGAAAAGGAAAAAAGGAGAAATGGAAGGAACAGTTACTAAATGTCACTGTGTTAGGCATTAAAGTTGTATCCTCTCAACAAGCCTTAAGATAGGTATTAACCCAACTTTGCAGATAAGTTAACAGTCTTGGGAGGTTAATAACTCCCATAAGAATATATGGCTAAGTCTGTCTGACTCCAAAACCCATGATCCTTCAAAATATAGCCAGATACTTAAGAAATTTGGTAGCCTGAAGAAAGTAACACAAAGAACTTAGTCATCTTCAATTATATTAAACTAAAAGTTATGTGAATGTTTAATATGTACATGTGATAATGTAAGGGAGAAGAAGCTTAAATACCAGATTGGAAAGATCTCCTTAAAGATTTTAAGATTCTAAAGCATCCAAGGGAGGCTATAAAGTCTTCTCATGTTTTTAAAGACAAGATAGAAAGCTATCTTTCCAAGGCAATTGAGTATGGTTCCACAAAAAGGGTTTCTCAGTCTCTCAAATGTATTACTTTATTTACATGAAAGTAGGGAGGAAAGAAAACAGGCTCAAAAATATTCTCATTATACTTTTTTCAACTCTAGAAAATAAAACATTTTCCTATACTAGACTTTTTGAAAATTCACCTTCTTTGAAGTCTTTTTGGAAGACAAGTAAAAATATATTAGTAGTAATATTACCTATAAATTACTTTTTTTCACATGTAAAACAAAATTTATATTCAGTTAGGAGCTCACATTCATTGAAGCATTGATTTTAGCAATAGTTTCATCATCTGTTGGGAACTGGTATATCTGGACGCCATTGCTGACCAATTCACTCATGAGCTTGATCTTAAACTTCTGTAATTCAGTTTTAGAAATTGTATCTGCTTTGGCAATCACTGGTATAATATTCACCTATTGAGATTAAAGAAAAACAAAATCTCATATTTGAGGATTTATTATTTCATCCTGCAGTTTCTGTATTCAAAACCACTAAATCTCTGACAAATTTTCTTAACCTCAATCAAGTGATGAGCAAACTATAGTCCACCTGTTTATATAAATAAAGATTTATTTGAACACAGCAAGGCCCATCCAATTCACATATTATCTCTGGCCACTTTCCTGCTAAAATAGCAGAGATGAGTAGTTACATCAGAGATCATGTGGCTTGCAAAGCCTAAAGTGTTTACCACCTGGCCCTTCACAGAAAAAGCTTACCAATTCCTGACCTAGATAATCACTAACTGTCATCCTTACCATACGAGTACACCCCTATACAATCATTCCTTAGATGCTGGCCTTACAATAACTGCTTTTAAAAAGCACAGCTCTGGGCCAGCCGAGTGGCTCAGTTGGTTAAGAGCACGAGCTCTGCGCAACAGGGTCGCCGGTTGGATTCCCACATGGGCCAGTGAGCTGCACCTGAGCGAGCTGCCAACAGGCAGCAGGATGGCTCGGCTGGTGGGAGCACGTGCTCCTAACAACAAGGCTGCCAGTTGGACTCCCGCATGGGATGGTAGGCTATGCCCTCCCACAACTAAGATTGAACACGGCACCCTAAGCTGCCAATAGGCAGCCGGATGTTGACTGGACTTGGAGCTGAGCTAGCTAGCTGTGCCCTCCACAACTAAAATTGAAGGACAACAGCTTGGCTGTTCCCCTTCCCCAATAAAATCTAAAAAAAAAAAAAAAAAAAAAAAAGCACAGCTCTTAGAATATTAATCCTTCATCTTTTTTTTTTCTCTTTTCAAAGTCTCTTACAATTCTATCTATACAGTAAAATGTAAGCAGTAAGTTAAAATCGCCTGCTTAATTCACTAAGAATTTTTTATTTCTTAATAATCTAATCAGTAAGTAATTAGGATGATTGACCCTCACAAAACTACGAAACAGCTGAAGTTTCTCATTCTGCCTCTCATTTCAGCAGGCCCTTTTCCCCAAAGAATTCATCCAATCTGTGACCCACTGTCCAGACATCAATGAATGGAAACTTTATGAATATCCACTGAAACTGCTCATGACTCAAAGGATTAATCTTCTCAGCATTATCTAAAGTCCTATCGCTGGCCAAAGAGGAAGAGAATTGGGGACAAGAAGACCGACTAACTTATAAAGCTAATTCTATAAGATGAATGTCCCCACAAAAGATTGATGTCTATACAAATTTAGGGGTTTGTAGATTTTTTGTTTTTATTTATTTATTTATTTATTTATTTTGTTTTTAGTGAAAAACTTCAGGCTAATTAGTCATATGTCTCAAGAGAGTAAGATATCAATGTTATTTTCAGAATGAAAGTAAAAAGTAAAAATCATAATTTCTATTCTTAAATTTTTTTCTCTTCTCCAATTTCACACTGATTTATTTACTCATATATTTGGATTTATTAGTCTTAAACATGCTCCAATGAAAGCAAAGATTTTTTAAATTATCCATGAAATAAATGACAGGAAACTTTTCAACAATTGTGGGTAAACAGCTTTCATGTTACATTAGTCAAAGTACATAAAAAGCTGATGCCAAGTTCTTGGTTTCAATATTATGGGCTTCAGTATTCAGTAATTATACCAAGTTAATAACTTATAATTGCTTCCACAATAAACAGCAGAAAGCAGGCTGTAGTGCAAGTGCCCAACATTAAGCTTTTTGATTGTAATAAAATTTTCTGACATTAAGTTTTTCATTGCTAAAGTATCCATTTCAAAGACATCAATCTTGAATAAATACACTGCTAGCCGTATGACAGAGGTGCTAGCAAAACAATTACTAGATAAGGAAACAGACCATCCCCATTCATGAAGTCCCCCTTTTAGAAAGCCTGGGCAACCTAAAAAACTGACCCCTTGAATGAGGCCACTTCTCCCTTCCCGCGCTCTAATTCCCACTCTTATTCTTTAAATTTGCCAATAAAGAGTGAACCCATGAAACCCTCAAACACCCCAACCTTGGACCCTGATTAAGGCAGAGCCCCAGGTTCACACTCCCTCCTTTTCTCTCTTTTCTTGACCTCACTATGTGGCCCTTTGGGTATACTGTGTACATTCCAGGATCTGTAACAAATCTTGTTCTTCAAAGTTGCCTGATGGTTTCTTGCTGAAGTGAATTCTGAGATCATAGTAAGAACCACAAGGGCCAGCCTATTACCAACATTGACCCTGGTGGTGGTCAGGGAATGTCTGTGGGACTCACACTATGAGTAAATGCAGTCGACGGAGTTCCTCAAAAGTTCCCAGCCAAGAACATCACTATCAATAGGCCAGGACACAATCCAGACTGAAATATAAACATAACCTGTATTTGTGTACCGGGGTAGGGAAAGTAACAGATGTCTCACATTGATGATAACCTGTCACAGTTTGCATAAGATAAGGTAAATTTCCACATCGAGCAGTGGAGTGCTCTGCTTTTAGGAACAAAAGACAAACTATCAATTTAATTAATCTTTACATCTGCCCCTTGAGATCACTTCTTTTAAAAACTGCCTAGCTTTTATTTTAGAGGTGAGAAAACTGAGGCTCTGGGGACTAAAGAAACTTGCCCAAGAACACACAGCTATTAAGTGACAGAACCAATATTCAAAACCAGCCTCCACTGACACCAAGTTCTATGATCTTTATAGGAACGACATCATGCTGCTTTTGTCTGCTTAAGACAAAGTTGCACACTCTTGCTTTTTATGTTCCATTAATAAATATGAACTCCCATAGAATCAGACTCAACTATGAAAATAATTGGCTAAATGGTTAGCAAATCTGATCAGATGAACAGGCTCTCATACAAGCTTCATCAACTTTTTGCTAAAACCAGGGGACTGGACAACCAAGTCAAAAGTCAGTCAATCTACGCACCAAGACTTCACTAGGCCTTCATGTTTTCCACACCAATTTCTATGTCCAAAGTAGCAGTGTCCAGACTGCCCTTGCTGTCTGAATAGTATATCATAAACCTATTATCCAGGATAATGAAGGCTGAATTTCTCATACCATCAGATGTTACAGAACTCTGCAGATTTTTTTAAAAATATAAGACAGTGGTCTGTACATCTTTTAAATACATAACGTGAAGAGAGTTAATTTGTGTATAATTTTTTTTATAGTTCCCTGAATTCATATATATCTCCTTGTCTCAGAAATTCAAAACTAGGTTTTCTTGGTATGGTTAAAATAAAAAATATAACTTACTATAATACATGATAAGACATTAGGTCTTAATCTTTGTCAATGAACTTCTCAATAGTGTCATAAAGTAAAATTAGTGTCAAATAAATTCCATATTAAAAAATATGTACATGAATTCCCATATTCTGGCATGCAATTTAATAATTAAAACAGAACTAAATTTTTATGTTAATTTTTTTCTTTGCATCTCATCTTCCAAACTGAAAAAGAACCTAAGATTATCAAATGTTATAAAAATGCACAGAATAAATCTTATTTTTATTATGTATATGTTATGTATATAATATCATAAAGCTATTTTAATAATCAAAATAAATATTAAAACAGGATAAGTTGACTCTTTTTCCAAGCCCACCTTGCTGTCCAGGCTCTTCATGGTTAAGAGATCAAGTGTCTTCAGAGAGTGGCCTGTTGGTGAGATGAAGTAGAGGCACACGTGGATACGAGAATCGTGATAGTTAAAGAGAGAACGCTTAATCTTCAGTTCTTCTTGGAGATAGGCCTCAAACTGAGCATCTATGTAGTCAACTATTGGTTGGTAGCTGAAAAAACAATTATTAAAATATTAAATGCAACATATTCATGCTACTCTAACAAGATATTTATGTAACTTTGAAGTCTGAGATCTATATTTTCACCAATTAATAAAGTTAATATCTAGGCTGAACAGATAATTTAAGTAATAAAACAAATTGTGCAGAACATGCATGTACTAAGGTAGTGCTTTAAAACCATCAGGACAACCTGTGCTTTAAACTGTTTATGGAAATATTTCCTTTACATTGATTCATTCTCACATTCATTCATACAATGGATCTCTTTCTGACAAAGGTTCTCACACTTGCCAGACTGCTGAGTGAAGATAGGCATCTAATTGTAACCAAAATGCACATGACATGTTATTTAACTGAGAAAAAGCATGGGTATCAATAACTTAAAATGCATTTAAGTCACATTCTATGACTTTGTGGTTCTTAAATCAGAATTGTAAGGCACGAAATGCACTAATGTAATAAGGAAGAAAGGTACACACATCATATCAAAGTATCAAACTAGTAATTCAGGCATGATTTCTTTTCATTTAATTATGAACAAAGGAAAAGCACATCACACCCAATGCTCTGAGTCCTTGCTCTGTTTGCTTCTCCTCCCTGCCATGCTTTCGTCCCTAGAGCTGTTTCATTCTATTCATCCTTCAAGATGCAAACCATATCACAGTGTGTTTGTAGAAAACTGAGCTAATCTTGTTTCAAGATTAGTTTGTAAATGTTCTGTTTCATTTTCACATGCTAAATCACTGCCTATGTAACTCAACTTTCTACTCTTAACTATTCTCATTAAGCAAATTTGGGTTTTCAAGTGAAAATAACAGCAAGTTTTTCCTCTGTCAAATTCCCTGAATACCTTTATAGCCCCCAAATAGAGCAGTACCTTGTGCAGCTGAGGTACTTGATAAATGTGTATAGAACTGAATTCTTCCCCCAAATTCCTGACCCTTCTAGACCTTGAGGATCATCACCTCTTTTAAACTCAGAAAACCTTGTCCTTCCCATGCAGATGGTACGCAGCGTGAGAGCAGAGACAGTATCTTATACTTTTGTGTTCTCTGCAACAACTAGTGTAATACCTTGAACATGATCAGCTGGGCTATTAGGAACACCAGTATTCACTACGAAAAACACCATGCTTGGGAAGCTGGTCTAAATGTGACCCAACATGACCCCTTTCCCAAAATAATAAAATAGTAAAAATGAATCTGTAAGTACACATTTAACATAAAAATTCCAAAGAAGCTTTTATTAATGACAAAATAGATCACTAATATGACCTATTATATAACCTAAATAAATAGCCATAAACATTCCTCTATCTGAATGCTTTGCATTATCCTTGTCATAAATGAAAACCATAAACATTTTTGGCTAAATTAATATACCATTAGGAATTCTTCCATAGTAATTTGCCCTAGGTTTTCATTTCCAGTAAATTGCAGGCTCACTGTTCCAATGAAATGAAAGACACTGGCTTAAAATACAAAAATCACCTCTTAAAATCATCAAAGGACTCATAAGTGGTAAGGAATTAACCAGGTCAAAATTGAAGAGTGGTGAAACTAAGAGAGGTAAGCAGAGGACTAGAGTAGGGGTCAGTAAATAAATGGGCCAAATCAGGCTGATGCCTGTTTTTGGAAGTAAAGTTTTACTGAAACAAAGCCACATTCATTTGTTTATGGCTGCTTTGTGTTACAATGGGAGAATGGAGTAGTGTGGAGAAAGATCATATGTCCTCCAAAGCTTGAAATATTTACTATGTGGACCCTACACTAAAAGCATCAATGCTAGTTTTGTCCTGAGGCCATTTGTCAATCTAATTCTTGAACTTTGCTCCTGAAGAACTCACAGGACAAAGAGCAAGAAATCAAAGTCCAAGGCCTACACAAGGTGGAAATCTATTGAAAGACTGCCTCTCCCCACATTGAGTTGAGGTTCTAAAGGCCTAAACCTTCAGGGTAAAAAAGAACTAGAAGTAAACCCTCAATTCCTCCCCTCTACCCAAGAATCTATAGGGAAGGCTGCCCTGGCACTAAATGAAGTAGGGGAAATAAAAGCAAGGGAAAAAAGACCCATCGTTGAGAACTTGTGGCCACAGGATGAGCCCTTGCACATATCTGCAGCACAGGTGCACAGTGCCTCTTTGATTCTGGGAACTTCAAGCCATGAAATAGATTCAGGGAGCCTCAGAATATTAATGCCCAGAAGGGCTTAACATAAGCAAGTCCAAATCTGTTCAATGGAAGATATCTCCATCTTAGACCTCAAATATCTCTGCAAATAATTTTTCAAAGGCCATTAACTATAATAAAAAATAACCAAGCACATAAGAAAATGAAAAGCACAATGAATGAGAACAAAGAAAAAAAAACCCAAACATCCGTAAAATAACTGTAAAATTTTTATATACTGTAATTATGATATAATTATTAAAAGATAAATGAAATAGATATAAAAGGCAAATTTGAATACATGTGCTAGGAATAGTAAAGTAATAAAAAGTGATCCTACAGCTATAAACATGAACTACACAGAATATAAAGATTTGAAAACTATAAAACAAAATGAAGAACTCAATGGATTAGTTTAATAGTATATGAGACAAAGATGAAGAAAGAATTAGTATACCGGAAGATAATTTAAAAATAATTATCCAGAAAGCAGCAGGGGGGGGGAATAAAAATATGGAAGACAGATTAACAGTAAGAGACATGGAAGACATAACCAGAAGGTCTAACATACATTTCGACAAATTTTCAGGAGGAAAGCAGACATAAAGAGGGGCTGAAGCAATATTTAAAGAGATGATGCCTCAAATTATTAAAGAATTGATGATACTGTTCAGACTCAAGAAGTCAAACAAATCACAAGCAGGATAAATTAGAAATAAATGAAAACACAGATATGATGGTAAAACTGGAGAAGAGCAAAAACCAAGATCTTAAAAGCACTGGAGGAATAAAAAGAGAGTACTCTTAAGGGGCAGATAGACCAACAGCTGGTTTCTCAACAGTAAAAACAGAAGCCATGAGACAATGGGACGTATCTTCAATGGGGAGAAAGAAAACAACTGCCCACCAAGAATTGTATACACAACTATACCCTTAATAAGAAACACATCTAAAGCACAAGGGTGCTGTAGAAAGGTTGAAAGTAAAAAAAAAAAAGGAAAAAAAACACCTTATACAATAAAGCTGATGTACCAATACTGATGTCTGACAACGTAGATTTTAACACAAGAAGCATTACAAGAGAAAAAAAGGTCACTACATAATAATGACAGTTTCAATTCTTCAGGATGAAAAAGAAGTAGAAATTAAAAGTTAACTAAAATTGGAAATACTATTAATATATATCAAAATTTGTAGGATGCAGTTAAAGCTATACTTAGAGGGTAATTGATAACCATAAATGGATTAAGGCTGAGAATCAAAGAAAATTTAGAGCAAATTAGATCAAAACCCAAATAAAGGTAATTACAGATTTAAAAGCAGAAATTAATAAAAGAGGAAAAACAAAAACTATAAAATTGTGATCATAGAAATGGGAAATAAATGAGGGAAGACCTACGATTTCCCCATCTTACTGCCTGGAGACAAGTTTAACCGCACAGCACAAAAGAAGAGAAAAGAGCCTGGCTGACTCAATGTGAGTTGAGGAGATACAGACAGCAGTTCGGGAAGGCCACAGCAACTAGGATTTGTGGGCAAGACCACTGGCAAGAGGGGAGCTGCACCAACAGAAAGCATTAGAGATCTGGAGAGGGGTCCCCTGGTGGCTTTGGTGAAGCAGTGATCTGCATGTGAGGAAAGTACCCAAACTATGGACATTTCCTATGTTACAGTCATTATATTTGTCAAAATTAATTGAATTGTACACTTAAAGAAATCAGTGCATTTTATTTTTTCTATGTAAATTATACATCAATAAAACTTATTTTGAAAAAACAAAAGAACTGGAGAGGAAGAAATATAAATATTATTATTTGTAGATTATACTATTATATACATAGAAAATCTAAACACTATTAGAGAGGAATTGTTAGCATTAGAGAATTTACAGAAGTTGCTATATGCAAAATCAATTATATTTCTATATAGCATACAGAAAATGAAATATTTTTAAAAGATACCGTGTATGAGAGCATCAAAAATGCCAATTATCTAAGGATAAATTTAAGTAAAGCCATATAAGATCTCTGCGTAGAAAGTAATTTAAAAATTAATAAGATTTAAACCAACATACCTCTGCCACTAATTTCCTTCCAAAAAAGCCCATACAAGTTATTTCTTGAAAATTAAAGTGGAACATACAAATGTCCAGAAAACAGGCTAACACAAGTCACATAGTCAATTATGCAAAAATATTTTCCCTCCAAAGCTTACTTTAGAAAAATAGAAAATTACCTCTAGTAATGAAAATATATACATTTCAAAAAAGAAAAAAAGAAAAAAAGTTATTGCTTTTCCCCAATCTATTTCCTCCTTTCATAGTTTAAATTTCATATAGAAGCTATACTCAATCTTTGTAACACCATAAAAGAAATAATGACATATAAAATAGATATTCCATTCTCAAATCTTTCCTGTAATGCCTAATAATGTACCTGGGTAAACTGCTTAGAACTTCACAAAAAAATTCATGCACCATGGTTTTGGCCATTATATATTTACCATTGCATGTATTTTTTTTACTTTTTTTATTTCTTGCCTCAATGAGATAAGTCCTGCCTAAAAATTAGTACACATCATTTAATATACACTGAATTGGCATATCAGGAAATAATTAAAGCAATTTTTGCTGAACTACACATTTTAAGAATGTGATTAAAATTATTCTAAACAAATTAGATAACCAGATATAAAAAGTCAATTTGTTAATGAGAACAGAATATTGCTCAATTATTTAAAAAATTAAGTCTGGGAGAAAAGGTATGGATTTTTATAGTAGAAAATCAAATGACAGGTGCTGGGGCAAGAAGACAAATATCTTGAAATAAGAAAAACTTGTTTTATTACTAGAAGAAAACATGTACCTCTCATCTTTGTTTATTTGGTCACCAAATCCCACTGTATTCACAATGGTCAATTTCAATCGAACGTTACTTTCTTGGAGTTCATATGTCTGAGCTTTAAGTCTAACATGTGGGTAAAAATGTGAGGATTCATTGTCTTCAAAATTAGTATTAAACAATGTATCAATCAGCGTTGATTTTCCAATTCCAGTCTCCCCTGAAAGAAACAAAGGTACATCTTTACAGGTGCACAGAATGGATGAGAAAAAACAGAACTGTAAACTCTTAGAGTGGTTTCAAGGATCCCAATTATTTCAAAGGCTGAGGTGTCCATGAAAGAAATACATGCTAAGGATGGTGCACTGAGTCATTAGCAGAGCATAAGAATGAGTATGTATGCTAGGTTACTCAGAACTCTGAAGAAAGCACTGAAATGCTTAAAGAACAAACAAAAAAGTTTAAAGCAGTACAGCTAAAAAAAAAAAAATCAAAAACACAAAACTGATAGAATTTAAATAACTGAAAAATATCTGTGATCATGATCTCAAATTGATAACATGTACACCATACAGCTTACAAGAATGAAGTAAACACAAGGAATATGAAGGAACAATTTAGAGGAAGAGTTTGGCACTTACCAACACAGAGAATATTAAAACAGAAGCCTTGCTGAATGGATCTATTAACCAGTTGATCAGGTAAACTCTCAAAACCAACATGGCCAGACATAGTTAAAGAACGGATTTTTTCTTTTTTCTGCTGAAGAAAAACAATAGAAAAGCAACAATAAAAACAAAATTTTTACTAAGATAGGATATAAGCAAATTTGAAAGAATATAATTTATCAAAGAAACTAAAGATTTTATGATCCTTATACCTCTCCAAGATACAACTGATTAAGTAAACTTGGGAGAAATCTGTGTCCAGACACTCAAAACAAATATGTTTTCTTCTCTTCATATGATCAGAGTCCAGCATTATTTATAACAATGAAATATTTGATTTCCAAAATAAGAAAGTACCCAAGTAAACTATGGCACATTCATTCACAAAACAGGATGTTTAAAGTTATTAAAGATGCTTATGATATGCTTTTAATAACATTTTAATATTTTCATTAAAATGTTTAGGGATAAAAAGCACAATACAAAATTACGGATACAATTCCAGCTCCCAATAAAGGCAGAATAACTTATGTCATGCTAACCTGCTAATAACAATTAAAATCAATTCTTTCAAGTCATTGGAATGCAACCAAAGGCAGACAGACACTGGAGGGGAGACTTGAGAAGGAGACTATATGAGGTGAGATGCATATTTTCTAGCTTTCCCCTGAGGGTACTCCCCAGTCAATGCTGCACAAAGAAGACAGAGCACCATATGGAAGTGGCAGTCTTACTGGGTTGAGAAGTCAGCTGGGGATAAGTGCAGGCAGATCAGCTGAAAATTGAAGGAGAAAATTCCAGAAGGAGGGAGTTCAAAATCTGCAACCACACGCCCCTCAAATCTTTGGCTGACTGCTGAACTGCAGATGTATGAGGGAAATACAAAGAGTCTAGCAGGGGGGATATGGGAATTGGAGGAAGCTATGCAGAGTTTTCAAGAGAGCCATCCTAGGGATCTTGAATTTTAAGTCTGTAAGTTAAAGGAGTTTGGTAAACACTTAAGGCTTTCCACTGAAATATATGGGCCACATATTAAGATTAAGAATCACATCCCAGGAATCAGAAATGTTTCCCAGTACAGAAGGCACAACTGAAGTAGACCTGCCCTAACAAAACCTCTAACAAAGGCTCAGCATGATCAATGTGACCAGCCAGTAATTTAACTGCCTGCTAGAACAAAGGTCAACATTCTTCAGAAGATGAAAACAGAATCCAGCACCTTCACAATGTATCATCTACAATATCAAAAATTACTACATAGGGGGCTGGCCAAGGGGCGCGTTGGTTAAGAGCTGGTTTGGGACGCCAGAGGGCTCCGGTTCGGATCCCACATGAGGGCCAGTGACACTGCCCTCTGCAGCTAAGATGCTGAACAACAGCTCAACCTGGAGCTGGGCTGCCGTGAGTCGCTTGGCGACAGCATAGGCTGCAGCCCCTGCTGCAGTGGGTTGCCATGGGCTACCGTGTGTAGCCAGCAGCCAGCGTGAGCGGCTGTCCAGAAGCCGGCAACTGATCTGCCTCGCCCAGGAAGAGCGCAATGATGGTGCCAACTTGGGCCAGGGAAGCAATGTCCTCCACACCTAGACTGAGGAACAAAACGACAGCAACTTGTCTGTTTCCCTTCCCCCAATTCCCCAGCGCTGTTCCCATCCCCCAATTCCCCAGTAAAAAAATCTTTTAAAAAAAAAGTGATTTTAAACTGTATTTAATTTCATTTTCTTTTTTTTAAGATTTTACTGGGGAACTGGGGGAGGGGAACAGCATTGGGGAATAGGGGAAGGGGAACGGACAAGTTGCTGTCCTTTTATTCTTCAGTCTAGCTGTGGAGGACGTCGCTTCACTGGCCCATGTTGGTATTGTGATCATTGCACTCTTCCCAGCTGAGGCAGATCGCTTGCTGGCCATTGGACGGCCACTCACTGCTACTCACGGCAGCCCAGCTCCAGGTCAAGCTGTTGTTCACCATCTTAGCTGTACAGGGCACAGCATCACTGGCCCTCATATGGGATCCGAACCGGGGCCCTGCTGCTGAGCTGGCGCTCCCAAGCCAACTCTTAACCAATGCATCACTCGGCCGGCCCTTTTAAGTTTTTTTTTCTTTTTTAGCTGAGCCATCCTGTCAACCTACTGGCAGCTCAGCTTGGGTCAGGAATCGAACTGGCGATCCTGTTGCTCAGAGATCGCACTCTTGAGTGAGCTCTTAACCAACTGAGCCACTCGGCCGGCCTCAAATTGTATTTAATTTTAACTAATTTAAATTTAAACCGCCAAATGTGGCTAGTGCCTACCATATTGGACAGCGCAGGTCTAAACATTTCAATTATAAGAAGGAAATCATCAGATTGGATAAATATGCTGTCAATATAGAAAGTGACAAGCTGATTCTAAAATTTATACAGAAATGTCAATGTAGAATAGCAAAAACAACTTTGTAAAAGCACCAAGTTGAAGGACTTACACTACCTGATCATAAGCTACAATCATCAATAAAGTCTGGTATTGTGACAAGCTATTATTTATTTGTCTACATCAAAATTAAAAATTTGATCAAGGATTACAAAATTATATACAGTGTATTTATGCATATATATGTATATTTATTTATATAATATAAATATACATGTATATATAAAGAATTTGTATGACTCAATAAAATAATGCATCTTTTTTAATGGGTGAAAGACTTGAACAGACGCTTCACAGCCAATGAGCAAATCAAAGTGTGGTCAACATATTAGTTTTCAGAAAAACGGGAATTAAAACTACAATAAGGTACCACTAAATACTCACTAAAATTCAAAAGGCTGATAATGTCTAGGGTTGGAGATGACAACGAACAACCAGAAGTCTGATAAATTTGCCGGTGCAAAAGCAAAACGGTACAGCCCTTGTGGAAAACAGGTGGGTAGCTTCCAATATAAAGTTAAATACAGATTACTATACAACCAAAAAATCCACTTGTAGGTACCCAAAATAAATAAAATTATGCATCCACACAAGGACTTACGCACAAATGTTCACAGCAATTTTACTTTTAGTCAAAAGCTGGAAACGTCAAAAACAATGTCCAACAACTGATGAATGGATAAACAAATTATAGTATATCCAATACAATGGACTATTAAACTACTGATACATGGCACAACATGGATAAATCTCAAAAGCTTAGTATCCAAACAGTAATTTATTTCCTGTGATTGGAATAAAAAAAAAGGTATAGTTTTTTTATATTCTCATATATATATATATATATATATGAGTATAGATTAAAATGTCTCCAAGGGTACTGACAGACTAATGAGTGGTTACCACTAGAGAGTGGTCTTGGAGGTGGAGGTGAGAAAGACTATATGTGGTGGGAAGAATTCTAAGACAGACCCCAAAATGTATGGCCCTGGTATTCCCACACCTTCTAGTTATTCAACCAAACACTACTCAAAGTGAAGAGATTTTTGCTGACGTAATTAAGGTTCCAAATCAGTTAACCTTAGAAAGGAAGATCACCCTTGGTGGAGCTGACCTAATTAGAGGAGCCCTTATGAAGGACTGAGAACTTCCAGGTGAAAGGGATTTGAAGCATGGAAAGGACTTGAGACATGCTTGCTGTACAGATAAGAGGGAGCCACATGGCAAGGATCTAAGAATGATCTCAGGAGCTGATAGCAACCAGCTAGCAAGGAACTGAATTCTGCCAATGACCTGAAAGGGTTTGGCAGGGGGGCCTCCAGATGAGAACCCACCAGCCAGCATTTTGAATGTGAGACCCAGGGCGGAGAAGCCAGCTGTGCCTGTCCTTCTGGCCTACAGAACTGAGGGCTAATAAACAGGTGTTGTTTTAAGCAGCTAAATTTGCAGCAATTTGTTATGGAGCAACAGAAAACCAATACGCTGTGTTTTCTTTTGTGCCTTTAAATCCTTTTAGTCATGTAAGCATGTTATCTTTATGATTAAAAACAAGAGAGACTGAAGAAACACTGTGCTTCCCAGTCATGAAAGTATTCAAGAAAATTAGTTTTTCTGTGATAAGCTTATCAGATAAAAGTTGAATTAAATGGCCTATAGAATCCCTTCTGGCATTAAAGCTATATAATTTTAATGTCATGGAAACAAAAGCAGCTTTTTAAAAATATGGGGTTGGTCACCAGAATTTAATGAAGAAACAGGGGCCAGAGAAAATGGGGAGTAAGCAATGACCACTCAATGGATTAGTCAATAAAAGATTACTAGTGACTGTGACATAATTTCAGCAAAGTAATATGTTAGAAGGAAGATAAGAGATATTCAAAAAGTCTGTGAGGTGATAAAGATGAAATATACTATTATTACCATTGAGAAAAATAAATTAAAAGGATGGCAATTTGGTGGTCAAATTACGATGTTCAAAACCATGGGACCTTAGCCTGTTTGGAGGAAGAGGGAAAAAGAAGAGGAGACTTACTAGAGCACAGAACTACAGGAAATTATTTAACCTTACTGAATTACAGCCGTGCTTGTACTTGCAATTTTCTTTTTAAAAAAATTCGACAACTCCTCTCTTTCACCAAGTTAAACTTACTCCCTCTTTTTTAAATATAAATTTCAAAATGAATTACCAAAAACACATCCCTCCTACACAGGCACATTTAGAAGGACCCTGGAAACATTAAGGTCTGATCTGGAACTCAGAAAGACAGCTGACAGGGCCATCCAGGGACTTCCTACACTGTCGCTAAAGTTCTTTACATTCACCAAGTTCTGCAAGTATGCCCAACAAAAGCAGCGCTTGTCTTCAGTTTGAGTTTTAATTTGCTTAATGTCAAGCAGTAAAATAGAGACACTGTGGACATTCACCAATTATTCAATCCATCATTCATTTTGTACTTGAATCAACGTAAAAGTTAATTCACATTCAAAGTAAGTATAAACAAGTCTGTCAGGTGTCTGATTAGTTATCTTAAAACCATAAGAGATATTTTGAGTATAATATGGACCAATATTATACATTCTCTTATTTCAACTTCACAATATTTAAAAATTATACTCACTCTTTGTTCATCATCAGATACTTGGAAGGACTTACAAGTTTTTGTTGCCATGTGAGACTGAAAGAGCTGAAAAAAATTAAAAGAAAATACAGACTTTACTCCAAAAACACCTATATGTGAATAATATATTTACATTAAAAGGAATTCTAATATTGTCATTATTACCAAGTTTTGACTTGCAATCTACACAACTGACTCATGTTTAAAACGGTGGTTTTCTTGCTGGATAGGTATCTGCACAATAACATATGATATTCAACATATAATATACATTAATGCACTTACACATACACTTACAATTACACACACACACACACACACACACACACACACTCCCATTTGCATCCAGGAAGACAAAAACATCACTTTTATGTGAAAGGCTTTATAGGGTTAAAAAGGGGAAAATACCAATTTCACTTGAAAAAAAAAAATACTCTAAGAGCCAAGAAGGCACTCAAAATTAGGTATGCCCCATATAGCATGCCAGGGGAGAGAAATGTTAATGCTCCAGTTTCAGTATAGTTGGCAAAGCAGGGATTTTAACATTTGAACACGTTCCTTAGTTATCCAATTAAAATAGAAATAATTATCATTTATAATACTCCTATTACATGTCCATCACCATGCCAGCTCATTTAAGTACATTTTCTTATTTAATCCTTACAACAGATCTGAGCTCTACATTCCCACAGCCCTCATGAGAAAACTGGGATTCTGAAAGGTGAAATAACTTACCCCATATCATAGCAGCCAGTAAGCTGCAGATGTAGGACTGATCTGACTGCAAAGCTAACCGTTCCTTCTACTGCCCCAGCTTGTAAACCAAATACACATTCACTGTGTTTGCAACAGTAAGGAATGAGGGAGAGGTTTAAGAGAAGTTGTGGGAATTTCAAAGCAATGCTGCCTCAAAAGGCACTGAGATCCTACTTTTGAGTGCAGCACAGGATATGGAGGAAACGTGTGCCTTTTTGTGAAGTAATATTAATATGGAGGGAGTAAGAAAAAAAATGCCAACAGTGCCAATGAGCATCCAGTACAAAAGCAGTTCCCTTCCTACCCCTGATCAGCAGTTCTCCCCTCCAGAGGCCACCAGACTCTTATGCACCCTTCCAGAGACAGACCTTGCATGTATCTAAGCATATGTGAATATGCAGGTCTCCTGTTGGTATAAACGGTAGCAGCCTATTGCTCTGTATTGTGTATTTTTCGCTTAATCCATCCTGGAGACTGTTTCACTAGTACCCAGATCTACCTCATTCTTTCTATAGGGTAGCATTCTGTTCTGTATACTACAGCATATATGGATGTTCTCTCTTTATTTACAGTCCCCTAGTGGTTAATTACAATGAACTATGCTGCAGTGAACAGCTTTACCCTTAAGTATGATGAATGGCAGAACCTTACCACTGCAGCAGGGGAGGAGGTCCCTGGCACCTCAAACTACTCCCCTGCCCCCCACTGGCATCGTGAATGCAATCCCACAGAGACACACAGGTATACTTCATGACTGGATTTTACAGGATGCTAACCATCTTCCTCTGGTACAATCTGGGTAATCAGCTTTTGAAGGCCACCCTTGTTAAGCAACCAATACACATACAGTGTTTCCAAATCCTGAGTAGCTAACTGAACACAGTGTTGCAACATGAAATGACTCTAGTCAGCTGGAAGATGCTCCTTTACAAACTAACTGTACTGGCTGTTTCCACAATTTAAAAAGAAGTACACAATGACAAAAAGCACATCAGAATTGGCCTAAAGCTTTGGTTTTTGTTTTTAACTATACATACATATATGTCACCTTACTCCCTCCAGCCAGCCCCCTGCCATTCTAATAAGCCCTCTTTACTCCAGTCGCTGTGTGGCACATAAGCAGCAAATCATGTCCCTTTACTACAGCAGGACAGAAAAGTGAGAGTGACAAGGAAAGAGCAGAGGTATTAGAGATTTGGAGAAAGGGGAGATTAAAGGCCAGAGCAGTTTTCCAAGAAGACAATGGCACTGAACTGAATTAGAAAAGCAGTATAGCCTCTTCTACCTACCCGCTTCCTCTTACCCTCTGATAACCACTAAACTATGTCTGTCTATGAGTTTTGTTTTTGTTTTGTTTCTTTTAAAGATTTTACTGGGGAATTGAGGGAGGGGAACAAGTTGCTGTCCTTTTGTTCTTCAGTCTAGTTGTGGAGGACGTTGCTTCACTGGTCCATGTTGGTATTATCATTGCGCTCTTCCCGGGTGATGCAGTCGGCCGCCAGCCTCTGGATGGCCACTCGTGGTGGCTCTTGGCAGCTCACACCAGTCGCTCAGGCTGGCTGCCGGCCACACCCGGTATCTCACGGCAGCCCACTGCAGTAGAGGCTGCAGCCTACACTGTCGCCAGCAACTTACAGCAGCCCAGCTCCAGATGGAGCTGTTGTTCACCATCTTGGCTGTAGAGGGCAGAGTCACTGGCCCCCATGTGGGATCCAACCCCGGGGCCCTGCTGCTCAGAACTGGAGTCCCAAGCCAACTCTTAACCAATGTGCCACTCGGCTGGCCCTCTCTGAGTTTTTGTTTGTTTGTCTTGTTCATTTGTTGCTTTCAGTTTTACATCCCACATATGATTGAAGTCATATGCTTCTCGACTTTCTCTAACTTATTTCAGGGGTCAAATATATGGTGACAGAAGGAGAAATGACTCTGGGTGGTGAGCACACATTGTGATATATATATATATATATATATATATATATATATATATATATATATATGATGTATTATAGAATTGTACACTTGAAACATGTAATTTTACTAACCCAATAAATGTATTAAAAAAAGAAAAGTGGTATAGCATCAGATGAGGTGGCATTTAAGGTAGAAAACAACCCTGAATATCTCAGAAGGGAGTCAGAATTTTGTATCTGGAGAAAGTAAATAGTGGTTATAAGAGTTGGGTAAGAAAAAAAGGGTTCATTGGTCTCCTGCTGCAAAGTTATGAATGAGGTTGAAAAACAGATAAGGACCAATATAGATGAGTAGCTGACTGGGGAAGTTTGAAGTGTCCATCTAAAGAGTCTAACTTGTTGGTAAAGGTAAAGAAGTGCCACAGAAAACACCTGCTTAGAAGCCCTGTTCAGAGCCTTGTGTTGGATAAACTGAGTAAGAGTAGAACATCCCAAGCTTAGTGTTACTTCCTAATATAACATGCTATTTGTTCACATCAGTGTTGAAAGTGAGTTGCCACACATCTAATTAACTGAAGGTTGTATTATTTCTACTTATCAACTATGGAACTTGAATGAAAATTAAACTTTAACTTAAAAAATTACAATAAGTAGTTTTCAGTTTTTAATACTCATAAAATGGATATCATATGACTAGATTTTTGTGAAATGCTGCTCAGTAAGCAGTTTGGTTGATAAGTAAAATTTGCTTAGAAAAAATTAAGATAGGTTTTTGTATTCATTTACCACTAAACTTTGACTAATAAAAGCTAGGTTACATGCCGGTCATTTATGTAAGTTCATATCAAGTATTTGCTTTTGTTTATTCATTTCCTGTATTTCTGAACACTTGCCAAAAAGCCTTCTTAATATCTCTGTGGATAAGTGTTTTGATCAGGAAGTATGAATGAGTCACATAGAAGTATTATAAATGGTTGTTTTAATATTTTCCACTGGTACTACTTGACTAAATTTCCAAAACAAGATTTAGAGTGAAACAGTTTTTTAATAAATTACCAAGGCAATATTAAAGGTAAAATAACAAGGAGACAAAGAGTTGACCCAATCCCTCTAGTGGTAAAGCCTAAATCAAACAAACAAACAAACAAAAAACTGAAAGTGGAATTCCAGTCTGCTCTATCACGGACTACCTACGGACTATGTGCAAATCACTATGCTGGGTTCTGGGGTCTGAGGAGGAGTAAGACATGGCCCTTGATCTGAAGAACTTATATCAGAGAAACACAAACTCATAACAGACAATCATAATCTAATTCCAAGGTGGAAGGAAGACTTAACAAAATCATAACCTACACTTGACTGCACAGTCACACAGTCAGTTTGCTTTTTCTGTATTTTTTAATTAAATATATATACACACACACACACACACATATATACACATATAGAAACATACATGTATTAAAATCTATATACCTATTACCTAGAAGGAAAAAACTTATATAGTTCGTTTAATTCCTTGCAAAGTCTAACACATATTTATTTTTTTTAAGAAGTTGTAGTATATAATGAATCATAGAAAAAAGTGCCAGAACATTCTGGGGTAGCTGAAGGAAGATCAGGTTCTCCACCTTCTTCAAAATTTCAGTTTGGGGAGCATGGGCAACACAACAGAGGTGGCATAGAATTTGTGCCAGCGGCCCTTGGGAGACATGACCTTTTTCCTGGGAGACATGACCTTTTTCCTATCAGCCAGTTATGGCAAAACATTTGGCAACCCTAGATAACAACTTTCCTTACTTTACTTGGAAACATTCCTTGGAAACTGCCTTATAGCTTCTCTCTAGGTATAACAATGAGACTAAGCAGAACAGAATTCTGACTTGACTTTAAAATAGCTTCATTTTAACTTCACTTTCCCACAATTTTTATCTTCAGACATCTAACCCGAGAAATAAAATCAGTTTTCAAAGTGTTCCCTGATGTTCCTGGAGTCTTTTAGGAGAGAGGAGGCAGGGGGGAGAAAATATGAGTGGTCAAAATAATTACCTGAGCTTATTGAATGGATTTTGAGAGGGGACGGTTCATTGACTTAAAACAATACTTTAAAGGATTCCACACTCATTCTTTAATATCATTTTATTAAATCTTCATGATAAGCAAACTTTAAAATAGTTAATAATAGTGCTGATCTAAAATTTTCCTGAAAATAAGTAGTAATATTACATTATTCAAATTATGCAGAGGATGATTCCAGAAGTGAATGCCAATTCCAAGCAGGGAAAAAAGAATTCAATTGAAATCGAAGAGACTGGGTGATGACATAGGGCAAAGCAGCCCCTGGCTTCCTGTGTGCATGCCCCACCCAGATCTCCCCCAGGACATCCTCAGTCTAGGGCA